TGGAAATATCTAATACTATATCATTATTTAATATATTTAAAACTAGAGCTTTTTTTTTTACTGAAAACTAAGTAGGAAAGTTCTTTTTTTTTTTGTATCCTTCGAATTGCTTTTTTCTTACTGCAAAAGCATTCAATACACTTCATTGCAAACTAATTAAAAAATTAAAAGGGTATGGCATCACTTAAAAGCTGCTAAAAATCTTCCTAAAGATAGTACATGTGTAGCAAATTATAGAATTCTGTAAAGAATTAATTTTGGTTAATAGACTTTTTATATATTTAAGGAAGTCTTAATTATATGATAACTTAATTATATGAACTTAACAACTGAAAAAACATCCGGTTTTGTTTTTATATAAAAACATTTTATAAAAAATAATTGTTATGTTAATATGATATTTTTTTTAATTTTGACAACTATAGTTTGTAAAAGTTTATTAAAAATTAGTTTATAAAAGTTTAGTTTATAAAAGTTCAGATATAGAACAACATTTATTGGTAAGATTATATTTAAATTTTAAAAAATTAATAATTTAAATAATATAATTATTTAAAAACTTCTTTTTTTACAACATTTATTATTAATATTAATAATAATAATATTAAGAACAACATTTATTAAAAATTATATTTATTAAAAAACTTTTTTTACATACAATTAAGTAGAAGAATTTTATTTTTATTTTTAGGAAATACTTTCATACTAAATAATTTATCTTATTAAGATGTGTTCTATTGGGTTAATGACATCAGATGCTTGCGAAGGCCAACAAGATGTTATTGAAACTTTAAGCAATGAAGAAAAAATAATTATATCTTTACGCTGTAATATTGAATTATCAAACTTAGAAATATTATGTGAAAGACATAATACAAAATATTTGAAAATGTATCCTATATGGCAGAAAGCTTGTTGTGATCCATTCAATAGACATACAAAGAAAATCACAAGTATGTAGCTATAAAATTTAAATATTTCATTAATTTATGTTTTTCAAAAAATAAACGAAAGTTTTGAACTAATGTGCAGACATACTTTATACAATTCAATTACTTTTAGAAAATCTTGGCGTAGTTACAATAAAAGAGTCACAAATCATGATGAGAAATTGTTTGAATATTCCTCCTGGGAAGAAACTTTGCAAACCTTGTAAACAAAAGATTGCCAGAAAAAAAGAACTTACAGAAGAGGAGCAAAGTAAGAGTGAACAAGATGAGGATTTTCTAATATCACCATGCAAAAAAATAAGACAGGAGATCAATAAAGAACTCAAAAATTTTAGTTTATCTCCTCTAAAATCTCATTCAAAATCATTAAAACATATACTGTCAGAAGGAAAGCAAAAAGTTGCATGCATCAACGAAATGGCGTATAACGCTACTAGAAAAATTGAAACTCAATTTTCCTCAAAACTATGTTATGAAACCAATGGGATGAAAAAGAAGGCTGCAAACTTTGATGAAATTATGAGCTTGGTAAAAGAAAAAATTCTATGTTCTGACAAACGAACTATTGTTCAACTTCTAACACTGGCACCCCCAAGTTGGTCAATATTAGAAGTACAAAATAACTTTTCGGTTACAGAATACCAGGCCAAGATGGCTAGAAAAATTTTTAATAAAAAAGGATTGTTAGGTATCTCTCCATTGTATAAGGGTAAAGTCTTACATAAAGAAATAGAAGATTCAGTTAAATTGTTTTATGACTCAAGTGATTTATGTCGAACTATGCCTGGAAAAAAAGATTATGTCAGCATTCAAAAGAACGTCCACAAACAAAAAAAACTGCTTTTGTGTAATTTAAAGGAACTATATGTATTATACAAAGAAAACAATCCAGAAATACAAATAAGTTACTCAAAATTTGCTTCACTTAGACCAAAGTGGTGCATTTTGCCAGGTGCAAGTGGTACACATTCTGTTTGTGTTTGTTCTTATCACCAAAATGCCATTTTGCTAGTGGATGCCTTAAATATTGAACTAACGTATAAGGATTTACTTTTGAAAACTGTTTGCTCAGTAGAAAACAAAGAATGCATGCTTGCACAGTGTGATAATTGTCCTGGTAAAGAACTGCTCACCATGTATTTGTATGAGATTTTTGGAGAATACGAAGATGATTTTGAGATACACTACAAACAATGGCAAACTACTGATCGTGCAACACTATTGAGTTTAACAACAGATGTTCCAACGTTTATTGAACTATTGGTATCTTGTTTTGAAAAGCTACAATCTCATTCTTATATTGCCAAATCTCAATCACAATACCTTAATCAACTAAAAGAAAATATGGATCAATCAAACATTATCATTCTTGGCGACTTTGCTGAAAATTATGCTTTTGTAGTCCAAGATGAAATACAGAGCTATCACTGGAACACCCAACAATGTTCTTTACATCCATTAGTGATATACTATAAAGAAGAAAATGGTGTAGTGAAACATATTTCTTACTGTTTTATATCAGACGACATTATACACGATGTAACTTATGTATACAAGATATTTCAACTAATTATACCAATATTAAAAACAAAATTTCTTGATTTATCCAAATTGCATTTATTCACTGATGGTTGTGCAGGACAGTACAAAAATTGTAAAAGCTTTTACAATCTATGCCAACTAGAGACAGAATTTTCCCTCAAAATTGAATGGAACTTTTTTGCCACGTCCCACGGAAAGTCACCATGCGATGGAATTGGTGGTACTGTAAAAAGGTTAACAGCACAAGAAAGTTTAAAACGACCATACAGAAACCAAATTCTCACATCAGAGGCTATGTATGAATTTTGTGTTGAGAAAATTAAGGCTGTTAACTTCATTTACATAAAGGGATTGGACTTACAATTGCAACGTGAAAAGCAAAAAGAAAGGTACACTGATGTAACAACTCTACCAGGTACTCGTAGCTTTCATCAATTTATACATCTTGGAGATAATAGGGTTGGGGCGAAGAGGTGTAGTACAGACACTAAATATACAATAATTCACAATCTTAAAAAGAAACATATATTTGAACCTGATACTGTCACTTTAGGAGGTTATGTTGCGGTAGTTTATGATGATAAGTGGTGGATCGGCATTGTAACTGAAATCAACCTAGAAGAAGTTGATGCTGAAGTTAAGTTTCTCCACCCAAGAGGTCCATCAATCTATTTTAACTGGCCTGAAAGAGACGACCACTGTTTTATTCCTAACATCAATATATTGAAAAAACTATCTGTTCCACAAGCTTGCTCTAGTTCTGGTAGAAACTATGTGTTTGAAAATGTTGAAATAGAAGAAGTGCAAGTAAAATGGCAACAATATTGTGAACTATTACAAATACAGTCAAAATAACTTGCACATTCGATACCTTTAAAAATCTTGTATATTTAAGTAACTTTGTAAATTAGGAATAATTTATTTTAATTGAATTTATAAATATTTTTTAGGAATTTCTTAAAAAAGTTATACATCTTTAAAATTAAAGTTCTATATGTTTCAGTTTTTTTTCCAGTTAGATTTTTTGTGCCTAGTAAGATTATAACTAGCTTAAAATATTGAAAGCAAAAAAAAAAAAAATTTGACGGGGGTGTTTTGAGATATTGGGCCCTAAAGTTAGATTATATAAACTAGTTGATTTATTAATTTTTAAGGATGTTCCTCTAACATTTCAGCATTTTAAGTACATTTATTGAATTCAGCATTAAAAAACCATTATAAATGTATATTTTTATATTTTTGCCATTTTTATTTCTTATTTTATTGAGGAAAACAACTTTTCAGAATGTTATAAAAACCGGGTCATTTTGAGAAACCAGGTCCAAATTAAATTTGCTGTATCTTGTCAACCGCTTGACATTTTTAGCTGAAATTTTGCATGCAATATTTTTTTATAAATAGGAATCATGTGTCAAAATTTAAAACAAAAAGAAGACACATGGTTCAATGGAGTGGGTGATTTGATGTGGAATTACCCTATATATATATATAAATATATATATATATATATATATATATAAATATATATACATATTTATATAAATACACTATTGTAGCTATATATATATATATATATATACATTTATATATATATATATATATATATATATATATATATATATATATATATATATATATATATATATATATATATATAAATGTATATATATATATATAAATGTATATATATATATATATTTAGATTTAATATTTATTTAGATGTAATATATATATATATATATATATATATATATATATATATATATATATATATATATGTCAATTAATATTTATTTAGATGTAATATATATATATATATATATATATATATATATATATATATATATATATATATATATATATATATATATATATGTCAATTAATATTTATTTAGATGTAATATATATATATATATATATATATATATATATATATATATATATATATATATATATATATATATATATATATGTATATATATGTATATATATATATATATATATATATATATATATATATATATATATATATATATATATATATATATATATATATATATATATATATATATATGTATATATATATATATATATATGTATATATATATATATATATATATATATATATATATATATATATATATCCAACAATTAATATTATCTAAAGATGTAATTTGATAATATATTTTATGCACTTTAATTCTTAAAAGGTGTGCTTTAATTTTTTAGAAAAAGAAAAACAAAGGATGGGTATTATATTTTTGTTGTTAATTTTTTTAGTTTTTTTAACCTGTTTGTTAATTTAATTTTGTTTTAATCTTTTTTTTTTTTTTTTTTCACTATAAGTACCACCTGATTTTGTAAAAAGTAAATTAGTAAAACTTAAATTTTATATTTAAAACAAATTTTTAAGATAAAAAAAAAAATCATTATTCATTACATAAAGAAAAACTGTGATTTTAATATGAATTTGAAAAAAGTATATAAAAAATATTTCTAAGCATATACCACATCGTTCATCTAAACGTTGTGTAAGATCTTGAATATCTGCAGGATCTCCACAAACTTCTTTAACATTGCCAATTAAATTAACACTTCTAAATGCACTTGGTTTTAACAAAACGGCAGACCATTCTTTAAAATTTTTGACACGATTTATAAATTTGGGCATCTCTTGGTTAATCTGGTTTTTAAGAATTTGTTTAGCAACAACAGCATTGTTTCTAATTTCTTCTTTTGAGACCTTCAATAGAACTGATGCTTTAATGGAAACAGTTTTAAAAGTACTTCTTTTTCTTCTGAAAACAAGTGAAGCACTTCCACAAAAAACTTCTAATGAATCAAAATCGCAGTAAAGACAAAGTGATTTTAAAAACTCGTTTTTTATTTGCTCTTGAACAGCTTTACTGTGACAATCTCCTTCATAAGTTAACTCTGTACTTGTTTCTTGTTCATTACCATTGGTTTGATCTTTCCCTAATCAAATATAGAGACATTATAAAATTAAAAATTATTATGTAAAATAGATAATAAATAACAGACATTTAGAGCTTACAGTATGTAATCAATAATATTTTAACTAAAATATAATTTAATAAACTATTATTTATTACTATATGGTTCTTAGTTTTGTCTTATAAATTTATGAACTAAATTCATAATCATTGGCATATCATAATCTTGTCGATTAGAGTGTCAGTTAAAAAAAGATTAAAGAAAACTACAATTTGTGCACAAAGTCTTGAACCAAAATCATTACACAAATAAATTACTTTAAAAAATAAATCAATTTGACTAGTCAAATTGATTTATAATTGATTTAAAATTAAAATCAATTTTATGAAAACAATTTCTCAAACAAAAGTTGAGATATCAAATTATTTTAATAAAATGCATCAACCTCTATCTAATAACACCAATCATAATCAGGCTTTCTCAGGAGACACCTGCGGTTGCACGCCTTGAATGACCACATATATACTTTTTTGTTGATAACTTGGCCGCAATTCATTTACATATATTGAAGATAATGCATTTTAAAAACGCACTGAAAAAACCAAACTAATTAGTCGTCTTATTGTGTTTTTTTTATTATTAATAATAATTTATTATTATAGTTATTGAGGAAATAAAAACATTATAATAACATATATATATAGGCAATTTTTTAAATTACGTTACAGGAGCAACAACTTTATCAAATATTTGCTTTAAATTAAACTTTAAGCTATTTTTTATGAAAGCTGTTAGTCAAATGAATAAAATAAGCTAAAAAGTTTTGAGTTTGGTCAAAAGAGAGCAAACTTATTACTGAAAATGTTACTTACACTTATGTTACACAGAAAACAAGGTAAAAAAATTGCTTCAACTTTTAGCTCTGATTTCTGCAAATCTATAAAGCAGTTTGTATTATAAACTTTTACAAAATGCTGAGAATTCTATACCAAGTTAAAAATTATTAGAGTTTCCTTAGCCAGTCAACTATTAGAGTTGACTGGCTAAAGAAAATAAATTTGTTTTTTTGATATTGTAGGTTTTGTGGTTTATTCTCTGCCAGCTAAATGCTTTGTGGAGGTCATAATACCCTGGTCCGCAGAGATTTGTTTCGACTTCTAAAGGAGCGTCATAACCCGCTCTGCGGACTAAGAGTATGGTGAGTTTGGGAAGAACGAAGATATGTTAGTGTGAAAGGCAGAAGTAATCGTGTTAGAAAGATAGCATAGAGAAAACAGACAGAATTGCACACGATGTTAGAAGGTGCAATAGTGCTGTTAGTCAAACCAACAAAGACTTGGAGAGTTCACTTATCATGAATTCTTCCTCAACTTTCTTTGTCGTTTGATACTGTATATTTTATTTAAGTTACATCACTTACATTATCGAGTGGTTAATGTGAACTTTTTTTATCAAGAGTTATGTAACAAAAGAATTACGTACGTATTGAACTCATTCATTAAAATAATTAACAAAGAAATTTTTTAAAAACTGGTGGCACTTTTCCTGAGTAATTTTTCATAACATTGATCAAAGTTTTTTTGCAAGACCAAGAGCAACTTCAAAATAATATTTTAGTTTTACATCTTTATTATTACTTAATTGAGTCAAAGGTTTGTCAAAGTTTTTACTTACACTTCTTATATTTATACAGTGCCGGCTTTAGCCTTCTTGCCGCCCTCATGCAAAATATTTTCTGCCACCCCTGACAATTTATAAACTTGTTGGTAAATTACACGGAAAATAATAACAAATCTAATTCAAAAATAATACTTTGTAATGAAATGCTGCATACAAAGAAACATTTTTTGTTTATGTTTTACACAAAATACATTTAATTTTTTAAAATAATTTTTTGGGCCTTTTTATTACCAAAGTCTTTGATTAGAGTAGAAAAATCAAGATTTTTAGCAATATCATTTTCAATCTATAGGGTTTCTAAACTTGAAAGTCTATCCTGCAACATTGTTGCAGGATAGACTTTCAAATACATCTCCACTCGCTACAGTGACAGGTATTATTAGCAAAAATTGCATTGCAATCCATGTGTTTAGATATAAATCTTGCATTTTATGCTGTTTTATAAAGTTTAAAACAATAATAGGAGTAATTTTATCCTTGACCATTTCAGAAAAAAAAGGTTTTACGCTCATCAGTTCATCTCAAAGGAGAATACCATTAATGTCCGATTTTAGATTTACAGTAAGTTTACTTTGAAAGATTAAACTTGATTTTAGAATTTCTTCTCTTTTTTGCAAACTATCGACATTATATAAAAAACCCTAAACTTCTGAATAATTTTCCAACTGTATAAATCTTTCTCTTATAGATATTAGAGTTGTGTCTAAAAAAGGATTGAAAAAACTGATTTCTAATTTTTTTCAGGAGAAAATGAATAAATACCATCTTGGACTGGTTCGTCAAAATGGTGTTTTATTCGTAAAACTCTTTTAAGTGATTTAAAAACAGGCTCCACTTGTAATTCTACGGCCAAATCCTTTGCTTTTATAATTGCATGTTTAAAACCACATTTTCATTAGTTTTTTAAACATGAGCAACAGCTTTTCACCAATTTTGCATATTAAGTGATATCCATGTCTTTCTCTTGAAAAGTTTTACTAACAATATTGATTTGAAAAAGCACATCATACCAGACAATTAAAGAGACAAGAAAACTTTCAATTTCTTGTCTCTTTAATTGTCTCTTTAATTGAAGCGATAACCCTAGTAGAGAAAAGAAAGAAAATCTTTCAATTTCTCTACTAGGGTTATCGCTTCATGTGCAGTTTCAGGATCACATCCTTCAATTTCTGACAATGCTATCAAAGCATTATGTATATCACCAACTTGATAACGAACGGCTTGGACACTACTTATTTTTGCTTTCCACTGCGTGTCACAGAGTTTCTTTAAATGCAAAATTAAAATTTTCTATCAGCTCACTGAAGCTGAGAATAGAGTGAACAATCTCTGGAGAACACCAAATAAAGTTATAGATTTTGCTGAAGACCGTGCAGAGTCACTTATTACCAAATTTAAACTATGACTGCCACAGGGAACATATAATGCTAAAGGATTAAGATTTAAAATCCTTTTTTGTACCGCATTAATCTTTCCTTTCATATTTGATCCTTTACCTCTGCAGTTAAAGATTCTAAGTCCATGTTTAGTTAGCAATCCAATTGAAACTTCAGTAAGTCCTAAGCCTGTAGAATTGAAAATAGAAAAAAACCCTATATAGTACTTTTAATTTAAACTCTCATGTCTAATGACAACTATTCCAATTATTCGAATTATAAAAGAAAGTTGATCTTTTCTAGAAATATCAGGTGTACAATTAATAATGATTGAATAGTAAGTGGCTTTCAATACTATTTCATCATTAACCTTTTGAGAAATTAAATCTATTAACTCATTCTGAATATTTTCCCCGCAGTATATCTCGCAGTAAATCTGAAGTGCCACTTTTTATTGCAAGTGCTAAATGTTTTTGCATCACATGATCAAATTTTGCAATCATCTGTATTATTCCAAAGAATTTGCTGTCTTGAGGTGAAAGTAATTTAGCTGAACTATCTTGAAAAGCCATATTATTTTCAGCTAGGTAAAGAGTGACATTCATCAAGCGAAGAAGAACATTTTGCCATCGCAAACTGTCTTTTTTTATAATTTTAAGTTCTTCATTATCTATAGTTTTTCCAGTTTTATTTTATTTCAGTTTCCATCCCTGTTGATAACATTTCATATGGGAGACGCTATTTTCATGAATTCCCAATGTTTCAGTTAAATGTCTCCATTAATTGAACCCATCAGAGACTAAGTTTGACTTTGAATTATTATCAAAAAGTAGACAGCAAAAACAAAATACAGAGTTTTTAGAATCTGAATAAACCAACCATTCATTTGTTGTATCATTTGTGTGATATTTCCCCTCCTAAGGAAAATAACGCACAAATGATACTATAAAATACAATAGAAAACCATGCGTTAAATATATTTTTTAAGTAAATTTTGTAATTTTTTTCAAAGGTCAGGCGTTAAATCTTTTATTTTTAATTTACTATTAGAAAATTAAAACTTATAACTAATAAAATTTTCCAACCCTATTTACTTGCCGTCCTCGTGCAGTGCACAAACTCGCCCCCCTTAAAAGCCCGCCCTGCGTTTATGCATATTGCTTTATTTTTATAATGTTGAATTTTTCAAATGCTGCTAAGTATTCACATTTAAATCTTTTATTTAAATCTATATGTCAACCAAAATAACAATACATAAACAAATAAAAAAACAAAATAAATAATTTTAATACACATAAAAAAAAAAAGTTTTTTTAAAATTCTCTTTATTTAAAAGTATTAGTTAAGACCTTGTCAAAGCAACGGGAAGAAATAATAATTACTTAATAGCGTAATTGATTTTGTAAATAAAAACTTTACAAATTTTATTAAAAAAAAAATTAAAAAAAATTAAAAAAAAAATATATATATATATATATATATATATATATATATATATATATATATATATATATATGATTTTTATCTTTTTATTTTGTCATTTATAAAAAACATATATGTGCATTATTGTTAGGTTTTTATTTTCTTATAAATAATAATAATGATAAATAATTAATAATAATTAAAAAAAACAACAATAAGATGACTAATTAGTTTGGTTTTTTCAGCGCGTTTTAAAATGCATCATTTTTAATATATGCAAAAAAAATTGTAGCCAAGTTATCAACAAAAAAATATATATGTGTGGTCATTCAAGGTGTGCGACCGCACGCATCTCCTGAGAAAGCCTGAAAATGTACACCAGTAATCAATTTTTTTCATTTTATTATAAAACTTATAATGCTTAACAATTTTTCAGTGTCCTTTTCTTTATTAAAAAAACATATAATTATGTTGCCCCAATTAAAAAACTGAATGTCGAATTTGAATGTGTAACCATGGAAATATTGAAACACATTTACATAAAATAGACCAGGTATATTTGTCAGCAATTGGCTTATAAGCCATTTGTTAAATAGTAGCACTGTATGAGTTAAAAATAGTAACCAAACAGTGATAAATATAAGTGAATTGTGCACAAACTTACTTATACAATCTGGAATTGGAAATGGTCCGCCTGACATAGAAACCCATTCCCCATTGTTACAAATATAAACACCCATGCCAAGTTCTTGAGCAGGAAATGTTCCAGCAGAACAGCGAACTTGATACATAGTACTAAATTTGACTAACAACCCATTTTTTGGTGGAGCAAGAGGAGGACATTGTTTCACTGAAAAAGAAAATTCATTTTAACACTTGATGTATCAATATACAGAATCAAAATAGAAAATATAGTATATAAGATATAATTAATTATAATTAGAAAATATAGTATATAAGAGAAAGTTAATATAAATAGAATGATATAGAGTATGAGATAAAATTAAATTTAAATAAAAGACATAGTGTATAAGATATAATTAAATATAAATAGAATTTAAGCAATACATGATCTATTACAAAGAATTTTTAAAATATGCAACAAATGAATAACTAAATTAAGATAATTATATAAACTTTGTAAACAACCAAATGTAATCAATTGTAATCAATTTATTATGCAATTTAAAAATCATCTCATTTCATTATAAAAAATACCTAATGATATTTGAAATAGTAAAGCTGTTCAAATTAACATAAAAGACATTAAACTATTTATTTAAGTAATTAAGCTAGTAATTAAGTGATGTAATTAAGTGGTGTAATTAAGTGGTGTAATTAAGTAGTGTAATTAAGTGGTGTTATTAAGTAGTGTAATTAAGTGGTGTAATTAAGTGGTATAATTAAGTAGTGTAATTAAGCAGTGTAATTAAGTAGTGTAATTAAGTGGTATAATTAAGTAGTGTAATTAAAAGGTGTAATTAAGTAGTGTAATTAAGTAGTGTAATTAAGTGGTGTAATTAAGTAGTGCAATTAAGTGGTATAATTACAATTAAGTGCAATTAAGTAGTGTAATTAAAAAGGGTAATTAAGTGGTGTAATTAAGTGGTTTAATTAAGTAGTGTAATTAAAAGGTGTAATTAAGAGGTGTAATTAATTAGATAATTAAGTGTTGTAATTAAGTAGTGTAATTAAGTGGTGTAATTAAATAGTGTAATTAAGTGGTGTAATTAAGTAGTATAATTAGGTGGTGTAATTAAGTAGTGCAATTAAAAGGTGTAATTAAGTGGTGTAACTAAGTGGATAATTAAGTGGTGTAATTAAGTAGTGTAATTAAGTAGTGTAACTAAGTAATGTATTTAAGTGTTGTAATTAAATAGTGTAATTAAGTGGTGTAATTAAGTAGCGTATTTAAGTAGTGTAATTAAATAGTGTAATTAAGTGGTGTAATTAAGTAGCGTATTTAAGTAGTGTAATTAAGTAGTGTAATTAAGTGGTGTAATTAAGTAGTGTAATTAAGTAGTGTAATTAAGTGGTGTGATTAAGTGGTATACTGAGTTCAAGCAAATAAGTATAAGATAACTTTTCTCAGAAATAAAAAAATAAGAAAGCTTGTTTTCCAACAGTTCTACACTACTCTAAACACTAATATTTTAAGCTATTTAAATATTACATAAGAAAGATTTACTTACATACAACTGAGATAACAAAAGAACATTCTTCATTTGAATTTCCATATGGATCAATAGCTGTATAATATACTACTACAGGCACATCTCTTGTAAAGGTACTGCCTTTTGAAATAGAAGGTCTAACTCTAACAGCACAGTTTGGGTATTCTCCACAATTATCTGTATATTTGGCTTCTTCCCAATCAACAGCTAAATATGCATCAGTTGTTTCTATTCTTTGATTAGGTGGACACCAGATCAATACAGGTGGTTCTTTATCTTTAAAAAAAAGCGTATAAAATTGCATACCCATTAAAAAAAAAATTTCAAAAGGATAAAATAGTGATAAAAAACAAACCAATAACTTCAATCTGAAATCTACAGAATGCACTGTTTCCAGATGTGTCAATAGCTTCAAATTTTATAACCAAGTCTTTAACAATATTTATTTTATATAAATTTCCCATTTTATAATCACAGTTTTTATCATTTTCATCTTTACAGATAACTTGAACTTCTTCCATGCTGTTGTCAGTTACATTAATTTCTTCAAAATTGACTTCTGCATAACTTTTCCCTAACAACGTAGATTTCCTAATCACTATGTTTTGGCTGCAACGTTCATTTTCTGCAAACCTGGGACTCTCAACATCTAAAATAACCATAATTTTTAAAAAACAACTTTTTAAGCATAATTTTAAACAAAATGTTTTGTAATGTACTCATGCCCCCAAAACTGGTATGGTAAGAAATTTTTGATGGCTAGAATTTTATTTTTAATTATTTATTTTAATAATTATAAATAAACATTATTATTCAAAAATCTTTACACAGGATAAATTTCTCACTTGTAAATACAAAAGACTCCATGTCCTGAAATTCCTATAAGGAGAAATAAACAACAAAATAAAAGATATGGCCTACTGTTAACAGTTGCAAGCTATTTTTGCATATTTTTTACAACATGAATATATTTTCAATTGATCACTTTCGATTGAGCTGATAATTATTTATAATTATAGATCATAATCTATTAGCATGAGTTTCCTTATATCCATTCATGCATTTATACATACATACAAACATACATACACACATACATACATACATACATACATACATACATACATACATACATACATACATACATACATACATACATACATACATACATACATACATACATACATACATACATACATACATACATACATACATATATACATACATACATACATACAATGATTTTATAATACATTGTATGTATTATTTCATACATACATACATATATGATTTTGGACCTCAAAGATTTCTAGGTAGGCAGTTGGGTTGGCATGCAGAATACCGACGCTAATTACGATGGCTGAGTACCACTATAGCAAATGAAGGTTTCGACTTTGGCTTGGGCAGGCAATCTATCAATTTAAATTTCTCCATACTTTCAAAAACAGATATGTACTTATTCTTAATTTTATGTTTTATTGCATAAAAGCTATCATTTATTAATAAAAAAATTAAAAAAGTATAATTTTTAATAGCTTTTGTTTAATTTTTTATTTAAAAAATTTTGAAATTTTTTATAAAATTTAGAGTTTAGGGTTTCATTGCAAATTTCAGACTTAAAGTGGCCCCCTAAATCTTGTTAGATTTTGAAAATATTTAAAAGAGTTGCTTGTGAGAACCAATAAAAAGTTTTGAGAATAGGTACATACCTGGTTTTGAAAGTATGGGGTGTTTGATGCCCCCCAATATACATATATATATATATATATATATATATATATATATATATATATATATATATATATATATATATATATATATATATATATATATATATATATATATACATATATATATATATATATATATATATATATATATATATATATATATATATATATATATATATATATATATATATATATATATATATATATATATATATATATATATATATATATATATATATATATATATATATATATATATATATATATATATATATATATATATATATATATATACATATATATATATATACATATATATATATATACATATATATATATATAGTATATATATATATATACTATATATATATATATATATATATATATATATATATATATATATATATATATATATATATATATATATAATATATATATATATATATATATATATATATATATATATATATATATATATATATATATGTATATATATATATATATATATATATATATATATATTATACAGTGCTTTTTCTCTAAAAAAAAAAAGGTGCTGAAACTCACCTGTATTTTTCTTTATATTTCAAAAATAAGGCAGAAATTAGTAATTTAATTTGTAAATAAATTTTATATGTATAGCCGTTGTTTTGCAATATGTATAGCCGTTGTTTTGAAAACTGTTTTCCAATAAATAAAGCTTTTTTTTAAAAAATAATGACAGACATTTTTTTTGGGTAGGGGGTGAGTGGAGTGAGGGATCACGTCACTATATATAAAATACAAACTTTACAAAACTATAATTTTCTACAAAAAATCCTATAGTTTTTTTCAAATTTTCGTTGGAAATATCCTCTTGTCCCCTTTCCTTGCTCTTAGTGTCTAATGCTGAATGTCTTCCGCTAAATAACCACGAATCAACATACTTTTAAGGATAGAAGCTTGTCAGTGTTTGTCCCACTAATTTAATGAATAACAACGTTGAAACTGTTTTTGCCATTAATGAAGCCCTTGTTGGTGTGATGATCAGATTTATCTGTGAAAACCCTCGTTCGAATTCACTTGAGGAAATGGGGATAGTATGTAGAGCGTGTACCAAATGAACTAAACTTTCAGGATATATTTTTTCTGCAAGGTATTCACGAAATCAACGAATCATTTTTCTTTCATTTAACTGTAGTCTTAATGACAGGTTTTTGATTTCAGTTTCTCCAAATGTCATCTGAGTATTAATGTTTTCAGGCCAATGATTTTGATCTAAGATGCGAGCCCATTGAGCTAATTCACCATCTTTATCAGCAAGCAACCTTTTCTCAATCGACTCTTTTAGTTTCATGTAAAAGGCATTTGGATCAATAGCTGAATCATTTTTGGAATTTTTATTGTGAAGTGAAACTCCATAAAAACGGAGATTCTGTGATGAAACTAAAGCTAATTTGTAATAGGGACCACCAATATTTCTTTTTTCTTCGAATAATTGAACAAGAGCTTTAATTTTTTGATTTGCTTTGTATAGATCAATATTGCGTTCTTGTAGGTCCAAACTCAATTCCAATAATTCTTGGAGAGCATCACACCTTAATCCTATATCCATTAAAAACTCTGTAGATGTAATTTTAAATACCAAACTATAACAGAATACCAAACAATACCAAACTATAACAGAAGGAAACTTTTCATTAATTAATTTGAAAACGCCACTTTTGCATTATAACATCACTGCTGCGCCATCACATGTTACATAAACTAAAAAATTAATCAAACATTCATCTTTCATCCCATAAAAATAAAGACAATCAAGTAAAGCATTAAATAGTCCTTTAGCCGTAACACTTTCAAGCTCTACTAAATCCAAAAATAAATTGATTGGTGAAATCATTCCGCTGCCTTTGACACAGCACCCAATGTACACTATCAGTGTTGATTTTTGGCTTATCGTGGTTGATTCATCAATTATTATCGAAATCTTACTCTTTGACTTTATGACTTCTGCAGTAATTTTTTTCCTCATTCCTTTACCTATATGATTGACAATATTAATGCATGCGTTTGTAGAATGAAGAATACGACCCATTTCAACTCCGTTAATTTCTTGAAGATTAATTTCCATTTCAAAGTTATTAAAAGACTGGGTTCCTTTTGCAACTTTATATGCAGTTCGAAAAATGTTTGCTGTTACAACTTTCTCACGTGTTAAAAATTTTAAAATATTGTTTGACAGAGTCTCTTTTTTAGCTTCTTCTACCATTTTTAATGCAGCTTGATGTTCAGCAGATTCTTTGTGATCAAATATTTTCTTACGTAACGAACTTAACTATCTTCACCATAATAAGAGACTTCATAACTCAACCATTCTTTAAATATTTTCATTCCCATCTTAGCTTCTACATGAGGTGTTTTCACTTTTTGGCAGGTAGTGCAACCAAGTGTTTTTTGTCGATAACAAAGCCACTCGTTTTTAGAACAAAACTCTGTTTTTTGCTCTAAAGTCCAGCAACTTGGCCAGCTATAATTGGTGTAATTGTCTGCAGAAGGTAAATCTGACATTGTAATTTCATCTGTTTCTTTTACATTTAATTTGATTTGTTTCTGAACAGGGGAGTCTACCGAGAAGAAACTGGTAATTTTTTTCATAATCAGTTTTGAATTATTTTGTTTAATTGATATTTTTATATCGCTATTTAAAAATATAAATTAGGTTATAACTTTAAATTTAAAACGCTAATAACAAGAAATTCAATAACGATATAATAAAAATTACTGTTGCAAATAGCGTAAAGTTTGTGTTTTAAAAATAGATCTTTTTTAAGTAGCGTAAAGCATTGTGAGAATAATTCTTGGACAAACATTGCACAGAAACAATAGAATTTCTTAAAAAAAAATTTAAAAAGAAAATTTAAATATGGTTGTAAAATTTATTATCAAAAAAACAATGACATGTTAAAAATGAACGCTATTATAATACCGTTCAATTTTTTTTATGCTTTTCTTATAAAAAAATAAGAAAATAAATTTATCTTGAACAAGTTTTGAAACGCAGCGCTGTTATGTTTTAAATCTGCAAAAAATGCTTAATATTTAAAAATTAACAAATTTCATTATATAAAACGAGAAAAAAAAATGTTTTCATAAAGCAAAAAAGTATATATATTAAAAAAAAGGTGCCGGATTGCCATTCCGGTGCGTTCTAGGAGAAAAAAAGCACTGTATATATATACACACACACACAAACAATATAATATAAAAGAAATAATGTATAAAAAATACCTTTGCAAAAAGGCAAATTTGATTTAATGCTAGTGTCTATATTCCAACTTCCTAGTTCAAGCTGCAAAGGCAAACATTCCACCACTTTAGGACCAACCAAGCTATAACCTTGAGGACAAGTGAACATACACTGTTCATTAGCTTGCAGTATGTTTTCAAAACAATTTTGATGTGGATTTATAACTTGAATTTTTTTGTCCAACTTTGGCAAACGTGGACAAGTTGATACTTAAAAAAAAAGTTATATTTATATTATACTATTTGTAAATATATATGAAGAATAAATATTTCTTTATAATTTAAAAAAATTAACTAAAATGTTTTTTAGAGAACACGCAATAATATAAGGTCCAAATATATCATATAGATTATCAAAATATTGCATTATGTTATATTTTTAATCTAAAATGCTTCTTTTTTAAAAAAAAACATTTTAAAATAACCTTCTTTCAACCCTCTAACAATAAAAACAAATTTAACAATCTGATTGGCTAATGACAAAACCATGCTTATGATAGGAAGAAGACTAATGAGATGATAGTTAGACAAGTCAGATAGCTCTCAAGAATTTTTAAAAATAGGGATAACAAATGCTGCTTTCTAGCAGGCTGGAAAACAAGAAAAAATAAGCACTTGTTAAATAGTTTTTAAAGTATATACGACAGCTCTGGAGAAAATTTTTGTAAGACTAAAATTGGTACATTGTCCGAGCCACAAGATGTAGAAGAATTTAAGCAGGAAATCACTTTAGAAACAGAAGCTAGAGTGATACAGATATCCAGAAATGGGTCAAACTATTTGACGGCTTAATCAGATAGAACGCAACTAGTGGAATCAAGAAATGATATTAATGAAAAGTTCTTAGCAAACAATTCAGCTTGTCTTGTGACAAAGTCTGAACCATACAAAAGAGGTGGAATTACAGACTTGCCCTTATTATTGATACTGTTAAAGATTCTCCAGAAGTCTCAAAAGCCTATTTTTTGAGATGACCTGAGAATAGTGAGCTTTGGCATTGGACAAAACCTTTTTACAATGGTTCCTAGGAGTAATAAACAGACGTCTGTTTTCTGGAGAATTGTTTTGCTGATGGATATGGAAGTAATGGTTTCAATTGGGGATTGCAGCAGCATAATGTGAGTAAAACCATGGAGAAGAGTGAGGCTTGACCTGGAATTGTCGAGAGGGAATAAAGGACTCCATGCCAGCCTGAATCCAGGAATTTATGTAAGAAGCATATTTATCAGCAGGAAGAAAAAAGATTTCTACCCAAGGTCCATCACGAAGAAAATCAAGGAAAGAGTCCTAGTCAACTTTAAGGTTGTTGTAAGAGGTATGATGATAAGGCAATTTAGATGATGAAGAAGAATGAGATAATAGTTTTAGAGAGATCAAACTTTAATCAGAAGCACCTAAGAGTGAATGTGGAGAAACTGAGCACTGACTAGGATCAGAAACATAAAAGAGTAGTCTGTGGATTCAAACTTAGGTTTCTGACAAATGGGTGCATTCTTATGAATGTAAATCCCCTGGATAAGCATGACTATTGGAGTCTTTACAAATTACAGGAAGATAACCTTTAACATTAAGATCACAAGATGAGACAGCTGAACTCAAATTAGTCTCACTAAAAGTAAGCAGGTCTGGTGAACTTTGCAAGAGATAAGACTCAACAGAAGTAAAATTACTTTGAAGACCATGAATATTAGTGAATTATAGGTTTAGAGAACTTGATGATGACGATGGTTTTCTGTGTTTTATAGTTTTTGGTACTTTATTTATTTTTAAATTTGTTAAAGAAATTTGACTTAAAGCATAGATAGTACTCAGTACACTGTTTAATAGCCCAAGCAATTGCCTCATTACTATTAATATACCCAAAGCTGTAACAAAGAGCTCCAAATGTGGCCTTGACAATGCACACCAAAAGTACAAATAGGGACACCATCCATGTGCAACATGGCACTGTTAATACTTTGATATTTTTCAGCTATTGATGGAATCAGCCTCTCTAAGAGCTACCACAGAGTTCAGGAAACCTGACTACCAGCTGGCTTCAGAACCATAATACTAAGTTTTAGAGCTGTACCCTCATTAGGAGATAATAGAATGAGTTACCTAGTCATCAAACCAAAGACACTAGCAAAACTCATGCATTAAGATCCAGCATTCTACATCCTAAACTGACAACAATGTGTTAAAAATACATCTGTGCCAGACTAATAGATAAATAAGATGTGCGAGGCTTGTCAATAGATAGAATCTGTTTACCCTGTAAGTCTTTGCCTAGGAGGCCTGCCACAAGACATTAGCCAAATGCATTTAACATCTGCCTAATATGACTATTTTCATTGAGACACCATCTCTAGCCTTTACTCAACCAAGAGCCCCAAGACAGGGGGTGTTTCAAGTCGGAATTGGCTTCTCCCAGCAGGACATGAAGCAGATTGTACTTGGTTACATGTTACCAGTAGCAGGATAACCTAACCTGACCTGAGAATACCTTTAGTTGAATTTAACTAATTCTTTTGATTTTTCATTTGAAAGTGATAATCCAAGTATATTAAATCGTTGCTTAAGAAATATCTCAATTACTTTCGAGTCCTTAATACCGGGGGGGGGGGGGAATAAAAGGGGTGGGTGGGAATTTTTTTATGTTACAGTATAAGTATTTTTTATAAAAAATTTCAGTCTATAAATTAAAAAAATAATATTTTTTACAAAACACGCATAAAACTATTTAAATTTTGAGCACCTTGCGGTCAAATGCGCATTTTTTAACAGTTGTTTTTTAATAATTTCAATAGGATTTAATAAGTTTTATACTTTGGTGTGAAATAAATTAAAATCTCATTTTCGATAAATCAATATTTACTTGGTTGGTGATTTTTAAAACCTGTTTATAATGAAACATTTTGTTTTTATCAGTGACTGTAATAAATATTTTCTAAATTTTAAGGCCAATTTTCATTTTTTTTTTTTTTAGATAGCAAGTAAAAATTAATTAATGGGGGGAGGGGAGTCTGAATTAGCTTTGGGTGGGAAAATTTTCCAAAAATTAATAAACACCCCCCCCCCCTCTTGCATTAGGGACTCGAGAGTAAATTCTTCTACAGTTTGTGGTTAACATTCCTGTCACAGTCTTACAAAATTGTTCTCCAGAACTCTCTTTAATCCTCTCTAAACTATTTAATAAGTGCTTGACCGAGTTTTGATTGTTTTTCTGCTTGCTGGAAAATGCCATCTGTTGTTCCGATTTTTAAAAACTGCGGTGAACATTTTTACCCCTCCAATCTGATCAGTCTTCTTTCTATTATTAGCAAGGTCTTAGAATCTTTGATCTACAAATTTCTCACATCCCATTTTGAGTCAAATAACTTAATATCAGTCAAACAATACTTCGATCCTCTTGCTCTAAGGCTGACTTGCTAACTGCTGTGACTGAAAAAACTTAAAGGGGAAAGACAGAGGCGTAGAGGCTAGGGCTATTGCTCTTGATATATCTAAAGCTTTCAGTAATGTTTGACACCCTGTTCTTCCCCATAAGCTTGCTTCATATGGTTTATCTGAGAAAGTGTTTGAGATTATCAAATGGTTTCTTTCTAACCGCTCCATTAAAATCATCCTTGAAGGCCAACACTCTTCTTTATTTCCAGTAATTTCAGGGGTACCTCAAAATTCTTGCTCCTGTTTTGTTTTTATCTACATTAACAATCTTCCAGACAACCTTACATCTAAAGTAGCTCTTTTTGTTGATGACTTAACTATATACTCCTGTCTTGACAAAAAGTCTTCTCTTTTCAATCGCAAAGAGCAGGTAACTGATCTTGAATTTGATTTCACTTCTGCATCAGATTGGGGCTCAGAGTGGCTCGTAAATTTTAACTTCAACAAAACTCAGTTATTTACTGAAAACAACTATCGCAATACGGTTGACATTCCTATATTATTAAATAGTAACCCTCTTACTGAGTCTTCTCCTTTACTTCTTCTATGAACATTGTTTACTACTGACCTTTCATGAAAACTATATATACAACTGATTGCTAATTTAGCATCTGCTAAGGTTGCTTTTCTTTATTGTGCTCGCCATTTTCTTTCTTGATTCTATTTTCTACCTTCACAAATCTCTTATTTGTCCCTGTATTGTCATATTTGGGCTGGTTCCTCTAATGATGCTCTTTCTCATCTAGACAAGGTCTAAAAACACATTGTAAACGTAGTTGGACCCATTCTATCTGCTAAGCTTGAGCCTCTTCCCCATCATCAAAAAGTTGCATTTCTTTCTCTTTTCTACAAATACTACCATGGTTGCTGCTTAAAAAAGCTATCATCTTTAGTTCTATCAACTAAAACTCATTCTCGATTGACTCGCCATTCAGCTAAGTCTCATTCATTTACTGTATTTGTCCCTGCATGCTCTAAAAATTTTATTTGTCTAGTTTTTTCCCTTCACTTCAACCCTTTAAAAATCTCTTACATCTTCATGTTTTCCTGACTCATACAACCTACAACTTTTTAAGTCTTCCGTTAGCCATTTTCTTTCTCTTTAACTCTTTTTTTTTTCTTAGTCTTTTTTTTTCTTTCTTTTCTTTTTTTTCTCCAAACATATTGTTCGCATGTAGCCTTGTTGGAAGTGAATTAGAATTAAAAAAAAAACTATAGAATGTTAAAATATCAATAATATTAGGCACTCAGATATCCATTTATAAAATTATTAATATGATTCAAAACGTTGTTACATAAACCCAACTTTGTTCAATAATAAATGGTTCCTATTTGAATCACATACAAAATGATGATCCTGATTAACAGAAAGTTTCTGAAGTAATAGCTGATCTATTAATCCTAATTAAACAAATTATAAGTAAAGAAAAAAATTTATTAGGTATATTGTCCTCTATATAACTTAACTAAATCCAATTAATCAATTAAATTAGTCTCAAGCTAGATAAGCAAAAATTATTAAAGTATACTTGTGTGTGGTGATTTTAATTATCCTGAAATAAAATGGGATTACAATAGTATAGTATCAATATCAGGACCAGATCATTCAAATCATGTTTTTGCTGATATTCTTTAGATTTAGAACTACATCAATTTGAACAAACAATTTAGCTAATTGAAGCTATTTTAACAAGTGTTCTCGATCTAATGTCTGAATGACCAGTTAGAGTTTTCAATATCAATTACAACATGCCAATCAGTGCAAAAAATAAAAATCATTTAGTTTTAACATGAAACTTTTAGTTAAATGATGAAAATCAATCAGACTTATCAAATATTTGCTTGAATTATAAACAGGGCAATTATAAACATATTCGCAAACATTTTTCACCAATTAAACAGGAAAAAAATTTATAAGTCATAATATTGAAATGTCTTATAAAAGATTTTTGTATTATTATACATCCGCAAAGAATATATACCATTCATTAGCACAATTCATTACAAACAAAACCTAAAATGGTTACCTAATGAGGTCAAATCTTTAATTAGGATTAAAAATACTTTATAAAAGCTTTATAGAAACTTTGGTTGGAAATGGAAATGGAAATGAACAGGATACAGTTCATGGTTATAAAAAGAGAATAAAAAATCAAGACAGTGAGTCATTAATTAATAGGTTTGATATTAATAATTAAATTATCAATTTAAATCAGTATTTTTAACAAAAAAACAAGGAAATATCAAATTTTCTATACAAACAGATAAAAATTGGCCTTGTGTGCCAAGGTTGGTGTTTTGGAATTATGGAGTTGAGATAGGGTTGTAACCAAATTAAAATAGCCTCCTCGACTGTATTAACAATAAGGCCTTGACAAGGTGAATTAATATTAAAAGAAAAAGCATACTTAATTTTTAGATAATGAAAGGTTATTGAACCAGAATCAACATGAATCATGCATCACTAATTTAGTAGAATTTATGGACTTGATTACATATTATTTATCCTAAAATACATCAATGGATATTATTTTTCTTAGATTTCGCTAAGGTCTTCAACTTATTGTTAAAACTATCAGCTTTTGGTATAAAAGGAAAATTGTTGAAATGGATTGCAAATTTTTTATATTCATGTAAACAACAAGTTCTTATGGCCATATACACTCCTTTTTTTCAAAATTATAAATTTGTTATTCAATGTCATTTTCTTATGTAAATTATTTAACAATAATAATAACAACAATAACAACAATAACAATTAATATTCTGAAAACCAGAAAAAGAAAAATGTTATCCCAACCAAAATTGTGATGCTTAACTTACTGCCATTATTCCAAGATAAAATTCTCTGGAGTTTACGAGAAGAAATTAATAAAAGAGAAATAGAGGAGAAAATATATTAGGAGAAAGTTAAAGACATTGCAGAAGAGTAAAGAAATTTGATAGAGAAGTAATAAAACTGTAATTAAAAAAAAAAATTTATAACAATTAGAACCTAATATTTAAGAGTTATTTTCAAAAAAAAAATAATTACAATAGGTGATTTAAATAGGCACTTATTTCAAAAAATTAGACTGTCAAAATGACATTCAAAATTTACTATTAAAATGGTGCTTAAATTTTTAAATTCTAAATTTTGGCATTGCAAGCACTTTGATAATTTTTTTTTTATCTAAATTGAAAAATGTTTCACAAGCTATTTACAAAATTTTTGAAACATAAATAAACTTGTATTACCTTTTAACTGTTTTTTTTTATTTTTTCAACTTTTTAACTTTAAAAAATTTTTTAATTTTCAAGTTTCTTTATGTGCTATGGCAATGTAATAAAAAATATTGAGTTAAAAAAATGTTTAAAAAACAAACATCTAGCTATCTTATAAAACATAAGATTTATTTTAATTATATATTTACCTCTGCAGTCAAGCACCTCATCATCCCAATTTCCACTATCAAGACAAGTTATCTTTGTACTTCCACCATGCTGGTAATATTTTTTATGGCAAACAAATGTACAAATGGTTCCACTTGGAAATGAACTGTAAGCCTGATCAATTTGCTTCGAACACTGTTGGTCAAAATAATTAGCTGACTTGGTACCAACCCAATTTGCAGCACAACTAATCACTTAAGATAATTTAAAAACATAATATAAGTATATATCTTATTGTAAATTATTATTATTATCTTTAGTGTTGACATTGTGTATAAGAGTATATGTTATATTAGTCAGAAAACATCAATTAATACGAATTCTCTTAATACATTTAATAGTTTATTATTAGAAATTTTTGCTGGGTTATGGTTACCAGTATCATAAGCTTGTAAAAATTATACAATAAATTTTTTTTTTTTGTAACGTTAGAAACAGTTTAAAATTAACTGGCGTCAGCAGTTGAATGGCTTCTTTCTTGCTTACGTAAAAATGTAAAAAACGGAGTCCAAAATTTAGTTTTCACAAACTGCCTGTTATCTAAATTAATTCCGGCATGTATAGGTGAACATTGGAACCTCTGTATTTCAAGAGCTTTGCGCACTTTTCGATCAAAATTTTTTGTTTCAACTTTAATTTTTTTTTATGTTTTCCCACTTTATTTCTTGTGAGCAAAACTTATTATGGGTGGCTATTGCAGATTGATACTGTTTCCCCTCGTTTAAACGTTTTAGATGTTGTTGAGTTCGAGTCCTAATTTGAAGTTTAGAGTCTGATTGAATTTTATTGATTTTTAGAGACCGTTCATTTCCAAATAATTTTGCAATTCGTTTAAGTTGGTATATGTTGTACCCATTTTCGTTAAACACTTGAATAAGGAAATTAATCTCATCTTGTAAATATAAATTACTGTGAACGTAACCTTTAAATATTGTGTTTAGAACCTTAGGGTCATGATTTGAGTGATGTTTAATTTGAATATTAGTTATGGCTTCCTTTCTGTAAACTTTAAACTCATATTTTCCTTTGTTGTTATTTATTATGGTTGAATCAGGGAAGTTTAGAGTTCTATTTTCGCTTTAAGTTTCGATCGTATATTGTATTGCAGGGTGTTGTTTGTTTTAGATAGATAGGAATTGTTCTACTTCTTGAGTGTTGGAAAATCTATCGTGACTATCGTCAACATATCTTAGATAGGATTTTAGGTCAAGAGGAGGATTTACTGCCATTGGAATTTTGAAAGCGTTTTGTTCATGATGTTGTAAAAATGATTCTACAAGTACAACCATGAATGAAAGACCTATAGGACCAGAATTCTCAAGTTCATGGATTTCGTTGCTTCAAAGGAAATAACGATGGTGTAAACAAAGCTCTATGAGTTGTTTTGTTTCAGATATAGTAAGTTTGGTAGAACATTTGCAGGAATCATCTTTATTTAATTAGTCTATGAGAACTAAAGTGGCTTCTTTTAGTGGTATTGATGGATACAAGTTTATTACATCAAATGAAACTTGAACCTTGTTTTTGCCAATTTCCCATGAATTCACTTTACTAATAAAATCAAAAAAAAATTTTCAGACGTGTTTGGTTTTTGTTTAAGACAGGTTGTATTTTCTTTACCAAATAGTTCGATATTCCATAATTAGGAGTGCCGATAGTTGATCCAACTATTCTCATAGGATAGGATTTTTCAGGTTTGTGAGCTTTAATTAGACCATACATACGAGGCGGGATAGCATCACTTGGATATATACTATCATATTCCGTTTTTGAAAACCAATGTTTTTTATTAAGTTGTGAGAGATAAGTCTTAATTTTCATAGCATAACTAGATGTAGGATCTTCACTTAAAATTTTTGTTGAACCAATTTGTTCGCAAACTTTTTCCAAAGCTTTATTGTGTTCTATTCTTACAAAACCATTACCCTTATCAAACAGATATATATCAATAATTTTGTTTTTCTTAATTTCCATAAGAGCTTTTTTTTGTTCTTTTGTTAAATTTTGATTTATTTTTTAACCCATTTTAAGTTCTTTTAAAACATTTTTTCTCAAATCCTGTGCATCTTCAATCTTGTTGCTATATTCCAATTTCAAAGCTGAGGTCTCTGTTGTTGCAATAATATCCATATAAGGTATATATTTCAACAAAGGTACAAAATGTGGACCAAGATTAAGAAGATCATTTTAGTTTTTTGGAATATCATCATTGCATAAGTATAAAACAGCGTTCTTTGTATGGGTTGTTAACTTTTTTTTTTTTTTTTTTTTTTTTTTAACATCTTCACTTCTAACAAGGCTGCAAGTAACCACTATAAGAGTTGGAAGTTACTGGAAGAGAAAAGACTAAATCTGTAGAGCAAGATAACGATTGACTGATGACTTAAAAAATTGCAAATTATATGAATCAGGAAAGCAAGATGAAGGAAGCGAATTCCAAAGAACTGATATTCGAGGAAAAAAACTAGACGAGTAAGAGTTTTTGGAGCACTTAGGAACAGTAACAGAAAAAGGATGAAACTTAATTGAATGACGAGTAACACGAGAATGAATTTTAGTAAATGGCACAAGAGACGCTAGTTCTTTAGAGCAGTGCCCATTATAGTATTTGTAGAAAAGAGAAAGAGAAGCAACATTACGACGATGTGACAAAGGTTGGAGATTGGCTGCCAGAGCAGGTCCAACTATGTTTACAATTCGTTTTTGCACCTTGTCTAAAAGAGAAAGAGCATCATTAGAAGATCCGCCCCAGATGTGGCAACAGTATTCCATACAGGGACGGATTTGAGATTTATAGAGATAGAGAATAGAATCTGGAGTAAGAAAGTGTCGAGCTCGATAAAGAGATGCAACCTTAGCAGATGCTAATTTTGCAATGGATTTGATATACGGTTTGAAAGAAAGATCAGAAGTAAGAGTTAATCCTAGAAGATGAATGGTAGATGACTCATCTAGTACATTACCATTCATAAATATAGGAAGATCTAAATTACTACGATAACGATTGGCCGAATAAAATTGAGTTTTATCTGAATTAAAGTTCACCAGCCACTGTGAGCCCCAAGCTGTAGCAGAGGTGAGATCCTTTTCAAGCTCAATACCCCCTCCAAGCAATCAGAGAGTGTAGGCTTCTTATATTAAAGGAAGATAACCATCAACACTAAGATCACAAGATGGGACAGCCGAACTCAAATTAGTCTCACAAAGAGCAAGTAGGTCTGGTGAACTTTGCAAGAGATAAGACTCAACAGAAGAAAAGTTACTTTGAAGACCACGAATATTAGTAAATGATAGGTTTAGAAAACTTGGTGATGACGATGGTTTTTTGTGTTTTTTAGTTTTAGGTACTTTAGTCATTTTAAATTTATAAAGAACTTGACTCAAGTATAGATAGTACTCAGTACACTATTTAACAACTAAGCAATAGCCTCATTACTATTAATAAACCCTAAGCCGTAACAAAGGGCTCCAAATGTGGCCTCTGCAATGCACACCAAAAGTACAAACAGGGACACCATCCATGCGCAACATGGCACTGTTAGTACTCTGATATTTTTCGGCTGTTGATGGAATCAGCCTCTCTGAGAGCTACCACAGAGTTCGGGAAACCTGACTACCAGCCGGCCTCAGAACCATAAAACTGAGTTTTAGAGCTGTACCCTCATTAGGAGATAATAGAATGAGTTGCCCAGTCATAAAAATAGAGACACAAGCAATACCCACGCATTGAGTCAAGAAGATCCAGCGTTCAACATCCTAAACTGGAAACAATGTATTAAAAATACATCTGCGCCAGCCTAATAGATGAGGAAGGGGTGCGAGGCTGGTCAACAGATAGAATCTGTTTACCCCTTAAGGTTTAAGATTTAGGTTTACCCCTTAAGGTTTAAGATTATCTGTTTACCCCTTACTTACAGATTTTATTACTGTGATTATTTTCAAATTCGTTTTGAAGAATTTTAAACTTTTTAAATAATCTCTTATTTGAATTCAGAAACATTATTTAGAATCTTGACCTAAAATCCTATCTAAGATATGTTGACGATAGTCACGCTAGATTTTCTAACACTCAAGAAGCAGAACAATTCCTAACTATCTTAAACAAACAACAACCTGCAATACAATATACGATCGAAACTTAAAGCGAAAATAGAACTCTAAACTTCCGCGATCTAACCATAATAAATAACAACAAAGGAAAATATGAGTTTAAAGTTTACTGAAAGGAAGCCATAACTAATATCCAAATTAAACATCACTCAAATCATGACCCTAAGGTTCTAAACACAATATTTAAAGGTTACGTTCACAGTAATTTATATTTACAAGATGAGATTAATTTCCTTATTCAAGTGTTTAACGAAAATGGGTACAACATATACCAACTTAAACGAATTGCAAAATTATTTGGAAATGAACGGTCTCTAAAAATCAATAAAATTCAATCAGACTCTCTTAACATCCCTACTGTTTCGTTGCCAGGGATACCATCGCTATCCCCAAAACTAAGGAAAATATTTCGGAAAGCTGGCTATAGAGTAGTCTTCAAATCAAATCCAGATTTAAAAACATTACTGACGTCAAAAAACAAAACTACATTACCACAAAATAGTCAACCCGGAACTTATTTGATTGAATGCGAATGCTCAAAGAGATACGTAGGTGAAACTAAACTTCAAATTAGGACTCGAACTCAACAACATCTAAAACGTTTAAACAAGGGGAAACAGTATCAATCTGCAATAGCCACCCATAATAAGTTTTGCTCACAAGAAATAAAGTGGGAAAACATTAAAAAAAATTAAAGTTGAAACAAAAAATTTTGATCGAAAAGTGCGCAAAGCTCTTGAAATACAGAGGTTCCAATGTTTACCTATACATGCCGGAATTAATTTAGATAACGGGCAGTTTGTGAAAACTAAATTTTGGACTCCGTTTTTTACATTTTTACGTAAGCAAGAAAGAAGCTATTCTTACGTAAGCATTTTTTTAGCATTTTTACGTAAGCAAGAAAGAAGCTATTTTTTTGGCATTTTTACGTAAGCAAGAAAGAAGCTATTCTTATAAACTACTGACGCCAGTTAATTTTAAACTGTTTCTAACATTACAAAAAAAAAATCTATTGTATAATTTTTACGAGCTGATGATGCTGGTAACCATAACCCAGCGAAAATTTCTAATAATAAACTATTAA